TCTGGTCCCATATCTTGGTCGCTCCGGAAGGTCAAGTTAGCTTGTTGAGCAAGGGAACTGCATTTGCGTTGGGAATATTGAAAATCGGATATCATGTGAACCAGATTTCGGCGGAAGAGCGTACAAAGGACGCAAACGAAGGACGGGAAGCGTTTCCTAAGATACCGGATGTTCGTTTGTCAATCCAAGTTGATGAAACAATAACACCAGTCGTCCAAGCAGCTCGGAGGTTTCCCATGTCCATGGAAGCGGACGTGGAACAAACGATTCAAGAGCTGTTGGAGAAACAAATCATCGAACGGGCGGAAGCTTCCATAACATGGGTGTCACCACTCGTCCCAGTGAGGAAATCCGATGGAAGAATCAGATTGTGCGTAGATATGCGAGCTGCTAACAAGGCAGTTAAGCGGGAGAACTATCCAATGCCGAATATCGATGATGCAATGTCAAGAATAAAGAAGGTACGTAAATAAACTTTGATATTTGTTTGAGAACTATGTTAGAGTTTTTTTTATTATATGTGTTGATAGGTTGCGAAATTATCCAAAATTGACCTTGAAGCCGCTTATTACCACTTCGAGCTCAATAAGGATAGCAGGAACATCACTACATTCGTTGCAAGAAGCGGGGTTTACCGTTTCTGTCGGTTGATGTTCGGGATAAAGTCCGCTCCCGAGCTTTTCCAACGAGAAATGGAAAATTTATTTCGAGGGATTAAAGGTCTGATAGTTTACATGGATGACCTTCTTATCCATGGGGAAACTGTGGAAGAACATGATCAGTCCTTGCGAGAAGTTCTTGATCGGATTAAGAAAATGAACATGAAGATTAACATGCAAAAGTCAGTTTTCGGGGTAGTATCTGTGACGTTCTTAGGACACATTGTGGCCATCAAAGGCATTCGGCCTACGGATGACAAAATCAAAGCTATTCTTGGGCTGCAGGCACCCTCATCTGTTACTGAACTAAGATCACTTTTAGGGCTTATCAATTTTGTTGGAAAGTTCGTCCCAAATCTGTCGACAATGACTGTTAATATGAGAACTTTGCTGAATAAGGAATGCAAATTCGTTTGGACAGAAACACATTCCCGGGAACTAGAAGCTCTAAAAGGAATACTGGGTAGAGTAGAATATCTAGGATTTTTCGATCCAAAAGATGAGACTTTACTAGTTACTGACGCCAGCCCTTATGGCTTGGGCGCTATTTTGATCCAAATTAAAAACAATGTCCCGCGAACCATATCTTGCATATCGAAAAGCTTAGCTGACTTCGAGAAGAAATACTGTCAAACGGAAAAAGAATGTTACGCAATTATCTGGGCCATGGAAAAACTGTACGTGTATCTCTATGGGATGCATTTCACGCTTATAACAGATTGCAAGCCACTGGAATATCTTTTCAACAGGGTCAAGTCAAAACCATCAGCTCGGATAGAAAGATGGATTCTGCGCTTGCAAAGTTTTGATTTTACGGTTAGATATGAACCGGGAGATGGAAATCTCGCTGATTCACTCTCTCGTCTTTCTCAAGGGATAAAAGACTGTAGTACAGGTTCAGACGTTATCAGTTGGCTAGCAGATGAAATAAAACCTACTGTGTTGTCTATTGACGAGCTTGAAAAGGAAACATTGCGTGATGATGATTTACAAAAAGTCAAGGAAGCGATATATACAGGGATCTGGGACGAAGTACCGAGTGAATTTAAGACAGCTACGATTAAAGATGACTTAACGCTCTATGGAGAATTGATACTGCGAGGTGACAGAATCGTTATTCCTAAATTGTTGAGAGAAAAAGTTATTCATTTGGCTCATTTGGGACATCAAGGTGGAACATCCATGAAAGCGATGCTTAGGGCCAAAGTATGGTTCCCTTTCATGGATAGACAGGTGGATACAATTCTCCGGAATTGCAAACCGTGTAAGATGACGGCGCTGCCCGATAAGCACAATCCAATGATCCGTCGACTTCCGACAATGCCCTGGCAAGATTTAGCGATCGATTTTAAGGAAGGTCTTCCCGGGGACGTGTCATTACTAGTTGTCGTATGCTACACAACAAGGTTTGTACAGATAGAACCAATGAAGCCGGCAACAACACAAAAAGTAATCGGTGCACTATTGCGAATGTTTAGTTCGTTCGGCATACCACGATCGATTACTTCAGATAATGGACCGCAATTCAAGGCGATTGAATTTCGGAATTTCTGTATAAGTTACGGGATCCATCTGAACCTCTCTACACCGTATTGGCCGGAACAAAATGGAGCTGTGGAGAGGCAGATGCGTAATATTGGAAAACGAATCAAAATTAGTTGTATTCAGGAAACAGATTGGAAGGCTGATCTCTACGAGTACTTGACGTTATACCATTCGACTCCACAAGAAACGACTGGTGCGAGGACTGGTGTTTCCCCGGGACAGATGATGTTTGGCCGGGAGATACGGAATCGTATACCATCTATTCATCAACCACCGAGTTTGAAATGGGAATCATGCAGAGATCACGACATGGAAAAGAAGGAACAACACAAAACAAGGGCTGACGGAGCGCGGCAGGCGAAAAATCACAAATTGGAGAAGGGAGACGTGGTGTTGATGCGGAACATCAGAAACGGATCATATCAGCCAAATTTCGGATCTGAAGAATTTGAGGTTACAGACATCATGGGAGGGGAGATCACTGTAAGGTCAATGGGAACTGGCAAGACGTATAAGCGGAACAGTTCACATCTGAAGAAGTTAAGAGACGCTGTAACACCTTTGACGGAGATCGACACTACAGATTCGGAAACTGAAGTTGCCGAAGATGCGAGCGGAGATGTGATCCAAGGCGGTACCACGACCTCTACAGAAGATCCTCTGAAACCAGGTACGAAGCGGGTTTGCAGACGACCGACTAAATTTGATGATTTTGTAGTGTAAAATTCAAATAATAAACTCAAGATGGTAGATTAAATACGAAACATAACGTAAAGCCGAATTAAATGCGCGAGCAGCGCTCGCGCGAGCAAACTTGTATCGATTGTGCTGATAGGGCACATTCCAATTTTTTAAATGCAGCAGTACCAAGCTCAGTACTGCTACCAACTGCCCGTCAGAAACAGTAGTACTCACGCATGTTCGAGATTACTCAAAATTGTCAATTGTTTGGTAGGGAGATGTTTTCATGTCCTGAACATTTTTTTTCAATAAGTAACTGATATAGTTTTTAGAAAATAATGAGACGTTCAGAAAAAAAAAATCCAGTACATTTTTGCCGGGGTATTGGAACATATCAAGTATGCCAACATCACCCTCAGTAGTTGGACTCATAATGCTGAAAGTTTGGTATGGAGATGTTTTCATGTCCTGAACATTTTTTTTCAATAAGTAACTGATATAATTTTTAGAAAATAATGAGACGTTCAGAAAAAAAAATCCAGTACATTTTTGCCGGGGTATTGGAACATATCAAGTATGCCAACATCACCCTCAGTAGTTGGACTCATAATGCTGAAAGTTTGGTAGGGAGATGTTTTCATGTTCTGAACATTTTTTTTCAATAAGTAACTGATATAGTTTTTAGAAAATAATGAGACGTTCAGAAAAAAAAATCCAGTACATTTTTGCCGGGGTATTGGAACATATCAAGTATGCCAACATCACCCTCAGTAGTTGGACTCATAATGCTGAAAGTTTGGTAGGGAGATGTTTTCATGTCCTGAACATTTTTTTTCAATAAGTAACTGATATAATTTTTAGAAAATAATGAGACGTTCAGAAAAAAAAATCCAGTACATTTTTGCCGAAGTATTGAAAAAGTATCCAGAGGACTTTTTGGAAATATTGAAACACATGAAAGTCGCATGTCAGAATATCTGTATTTGGATGTGATTTGGATTGTTGCAAACTTTGATATTTTCAGAATGATACCTGATCAACCTAAAGTCTTAAAAAAGTAACCTGAGGTTATTATGGGAATCTCTGATCACCTGATGGTCTTCGGAATAATTTCTAAGCAACCTAATATCATGAAAAACGTGATTTGAATTGTTGGATAGTTGAAGTCCAACGATCAACGATAATACCTGATCAACCTGAAGTCTTGAAAAAATATCAAGATGATTTCATGGAGATCTTAGAACACCTGAAGATAGTTGGTATAACATAATAAGCAGCTAGGTATCATATGAGAGAACATCGGTTTGATGTAAAACACGCTAGCGCTTTCACGAAATCCTGTGAATATCTATGCATTTCCATTAAGTTCTATAACATACTATGAAATTCCCATAACTTCTATGATGTTTCCAGATTTTTTTTCATGAAATACCTCTCACTTCTATGATGTTACCTGAACTTCAATGATACGCTTTTCATCGTCGGAATAAGTGCGCATTATAATGTAAAATTGATTTTCCTTTTTGGGTTTTTCCAGATTATAGTTGGAACGACAATATTTAACTGTTCACGGCTGAGGCGATTATAAGATTATAATACATTAATCGCTAACCTAATACATTTTATTGACTTATCAAGGCATCCATCTGCACATAATATATCGATATATTAGTTTTCTTCATACAGGCTTTTGTTTTATTGATTTTTCCCTAATGTCGGCACGTTAGCGAATTATGAGTTTTCCTTGGGGAATAGCAATAAATATCACAACGATGTCCCGAAGTCACGCAACCGCTGAAAACGCTCCGGTTTCCATCGTCGTCATTTATCAGTATCTTCTCTACCATGCAAGTGTTGAAATGTCTCGTCGCTTCGGTCATCCTCTATTACGTATTTTGCATCATACGAAACTTACTCAAACTCTTCTTCAGTCAATTTTCTCCACTCTGAGATATTCACGGTACTAATTTTGTGTGTAAGCACGTGTTGCTTTAAATCGGGACTACCAAGCAAGGATTGGATAACTACTGATTTGAAAATATATGGCTGCGTTCTGCTGAAAATGTCAAACTGATGAGATCTCACCAACACAGTCGCACGCAAAATCCGAAACGTCTAAACACCAAACAATCGTCCGAAATTCGGAAAATCATCATCCAGCACTGTCAGCGGCGAACAAGGTCCCGTAAAAGTTTGTGAGAATTTCGCTGTTTTGCTAGTTTCCTAGTGATATAAAGTTAGTGCACCACCATGTCGGCCAGATACGATCGAGCTGTTACGGTTTTCTCTCCGGATGGTCACTTGCTACAGGTGGAATACGCCCAGGAAGCCGTTCGAAAGGGATCCACTGCCGTAAGTAGAATAACCTCAAAGTTTTTGTTGTGTTCAATCTTTTGCTTGTCATTATGGATTTCGAATCCGAACTAGACGGGGAATCTGCTAATGCCTACTGTATACTCTGATTGGATTTCAGGTCGGTGTCCGCGGCAAGGATGTGGTTGTATTGGGAGTAGAGAAAAAGTCCGTCGCAAAGTTGCAAGAGGAGCGAACGGTTCGGAAAATCTGTCTGCTGGACCATCACGTCGTGATGGCTTTTGCCGGTCTCACTGCCGATGCCCGTATTTTAATTAACCGAGCTCAGGTCGAATGCCAGAGCCACAAGCTGAACGTAGAGGATCCGGTAACGTTGGAATACATCACTCGGTTCATTGCCGGACTGAAGCAAAAGTACACGCAGAGCAACGGTCGCCGACCGTTCGGAATTTCCTGCTTGATTGGAGGATTCGATTATGACGGACTGCCCCATCTGTACCAAACGGAACCGTCCGGTATTTACTACGAGTGGAAGGCGAACGCCACCGGACGGTCGGCAAAGACTGTGCGGGAATTCCTGGAGAAGTACTACACCCTGGAACAGGTAGAAACGGAAGATGGCGCCATCAAGCTGGCCATCAAGGCCCTGCTGGAAGTGGTGCAGTCTGGGCAGAAGAATCTGGAAGTGGCAGTGATGAAGCGGAATCAGCCGATGCAGATGCTCGATGCGGAAACCATCGAGAAGTATGTTGCGATTATCGAGAAGGAGAAAGAGGAGGAAGCGGAAAAGAAGAAGCAGAAGAAGTAAGCGGGATTGTGGGTAAGAATTTTGGTACTTTTTCTTCATTTACGGTAACGTTTACTGATAATCAATATTGGAATAAACGATTTCTTGTTTCGGTTACACAACTGCAAGGATCAGTATGTGGTGGGTTTTTTTTTAAATAGGAAATTAAGATTTACATTTCACGTTGCCGTTTTGTATCCGAACGGTCCCTGCAGAATGTCGAAGAACGAGGATTTGTGCAGTTAGGAGAAGCTAAATAGAAATGTTCGGTGAAGGTCTAACTACGTAGACAATTTACGGCGAGTGCTACGGTTCATATACCTACTAGGGTAGTTCAAAATATCGTTTTTGTTCCACCAGGAAAGAGGTGTAAGTGACTTTGATCGATTCTATTTTGATAGCCACAGCTTTATAAACAGATTTTGCGCTATTTCTGCCACATAGTTTGATAAAGGAGGTTTTCATCTAGAATCCAGAATGGCACAAGAATCAAGGAATGTGTTTGCAGCTGAATTATCGATCTAAGTCACGCACACCGCTTTCCTTCTAACCCCCTCAAATCAAGTCCTGATCAGTTTCCCAAAATTTGAGATTATTTGAATGCGAACTCATACTGTACCGGCTCATTGAAGTTTATTTTGATAATAGCCGATGATAGGTATGATATTTTGATCATTTTTGAATAAATATTAAAACTGAACTGAACCATATAATTATTTTAAGCATTTTCTAAACCTGAATTCCGGGCACCAAAGTTCATCACTCTAGATATTGACGTGGAGTTTCCGCTTCGGAACACGTACATTCACGACACATTCGCGACACCACGAGGAGCCGATTCCAAGCTTAACAATGCAGATAAGTCACGGATGACCCAAGAGTGTTAAAGTGAATAAAAAAAAAACAATGCATGAGGTCCTAAGTAACATTGATCGATTTTATTCATCTACTTTCTCTTTCGTTAATAACTTCGGTACAGAACCGTTTCCTGTCGTGTTTGTCGTATTAGAACCTAGATAATGGCTTCTTTCATCGATCTGTGTGCTGAAAATAGCTGGGAATGTCTTAACATAGTCGCGAGGATGGAAAAAGAAAGTCGACGAAGAGAATCTGTCAATATTACTTAGGACTTATTAATGCATTGTTCAGTATGACTTGTAAAATGAATAAACAGGTTTTAAATTATGCCTACTAAACGTACCTTCGGATGTGATATTCATTTTAAACTTTACATGTTTACAGTTGTAAATTTAATACGTTACATTGCGTAACGCGACACCACCGCTGAAATCCACTTTTCCGAGCATAAGCTCTGGTTAAAATTGTTGAACACTGGTTTATTCTAGGCATTTCTTCTATACATCAAACAAAAGCATACTGTTAAGTAGAAATTTTGGAAACAGTTAAGTTTTAGAATATTCATAAAAACATTTCTCCAACTCCCTGTTCTACTCGGAATCACCAAAGAACCTCTCAAAACTTTCATCTATTCCGGTCCTGTCTACTACCAAAAACTCAACTACTTGACCCAGGATAAAATGGTGACATTCATTTCGAATTGTTTGCCCTCAGATGGATAAGATAGAAGGTTTCCGGTTTCAGTAATGTTGTTCAGATGGACAAGACCTATTTTGTGGTAAAAAGTTCAGCGCAGAATTCACTCAGCAGCTAGCGCTAGTATAAGATGCATTTTAAATTGTTTGCCCTAACTTAACGTCTTGGGAAAAGATAGACTAGACATATTCTATGGGAAACAGTTCAGCTCAGAATTTACTCACCAATTTTCACTATTTTTTTATCTAGTTCGTTTATTTGTAAGGCTCAATCGCGTTAGCTTTACGGAGACGATAATTCATTGTTCATTGGTTGTAACAAAATCAACTTAATTCTATGTCTAGTAGGAGTTGGGCCGAATACTCGCGGCTTACCCGAGGTTAGAGGGGTACATTGTCGAAGGATAGGAAAGGGGGAGGAGCTTTGGGTAGGGTTTCGTTGTCTCATCAGAGCGATGTCGCCAGTATGAACGGTATTGTGGTTCTAGATTCGTCTGGAATTCGACCGGCTATGGTGACCAGTGGGCGACGATGAGACTCATCGAGACGGGGGACAAGACAAACAAAAACTAATAAAGAGATGAAAGACAAACGAATTAAATTATTATTCTAGACAGTTGTTTGGTTTCATTTGACAGCTTGCCCAGATAGAAGGTTTCTTTTTCTGGATTTTTTTAAAAATATGAACTTAAACAATTGATCATGTTACCAAGCTAGTTAATTTCCCTTCTAATGTCACTGCTGTTCTTAATGATGACATCGATCGGAAATTATGCATACACTGAGTTCCGTTAATTGTTAATAGAGGGCAGTGCTTTCAAAACATGTATGATTCGCAGTAAGATTAACATCCGGAGTCCCTCCTTTTTTACATATTCTACGACAAAAATACTTGCTAAGCTCCGCCCCTGGATGGGAAATCAAATGGCATAAATAATGGTGCCATTTTCTTCAGAACTCAGCAGTGTTCACTCGGCTGTCGACAAAAGCAGGCCACTCTCGATGTGTGCTACGCGATCGTCTGTTTTCTCGGCAGCAACCATTGTGTGGTCCTCCTCATTGTTCTTCATCAGCAGTTCTTTCGGTCGATGCGTCGTCGACTTTGGAAAGCAACCGTTTCGTGATGAGTGTGTGAGTGCTGACCACGTTTTGCGTCCATTGTTGCAATGGACGCGCTCTGACCCTCGTTGGCGTACAACAATTTGCCATACAATGAAACTACTGGAAGCGGCTCCAGTTCTGATGGAGGAGGCTTTTTGGATAGCGGAAGATAAAGTGTTTATTGTGTTGTACCTTTTGACTATAGTTTTAAGATGTATTGTATAGATACCAAGAATCCTCGGCTCTGTAAAGTTAATTCGGTTGAGCCTTATCAAATAAATTAATAAACAAAAAAAAAAATTTCTTCAGAACTAGGTACTATATTTTGTAGTCTGTGAAAGGGAAATCACATATTGTGTGGCATCAATATACATAAAATGTCGAGAGAATGAGCTCGTGAGCGAAAATTTTCGCTCTTGAATTTCAATTTTTTTGGCACTCTTGGGGCTTGTGGTAAAGCTTGTTCAACAACAATATCCGGGAAAAAAACTGAACGACAAAGTCCCTGCCTGATTTCTTTAGGTTGTCGTTCACTTTTTTGACCTGAATATGCATCGAAAGCGAATTATTCCCACTTATCTAAATTTATACATGGAGATTTTCATTACTTCCTTCTAGCAGAACAGCGCGATCTCTGTATAAAATTTCCTGAAGATATGATACATTAATTATGATTCATATGACCATAGTAATCGTCATAGTTTAGAATTCACTCCTCAGAGATCGATGAAGCTTAACTTATATATGTATATATTTTTGCTTTTATTTGACATGTTAACTAATCGTTCTCTTCAACAATCCAGCAATGGTTAGAAACTAATAATCCATTAGCGGTCAACTCTGTTTAGAAGATTCCTGTCATCCACATTTAGGAAGAAATAATTCAATTTAAGCTTTCGTTCATTTAAAAAAAAACCCCCAAAAATAAGAGACAGTTCATATCAATTGTCTAGAATAGGTTTTGTGAATCTGAACAACTTTACCGAAGACGGAAGCCTTCCATATGAGTTAGGGCAAACAATTCAAAATTAATGTCACAGTAGCGCTACCTTGTAAGTGAATTCTGAACTAAACTCTTTACCGTCGGATAAGTCTTTTCCATCTGAACAACTTTGCAGAAAACATGAACCATCCATATGAGCAGGATCTGTAGATAGCGTTGTATAATGTGTATAATGTGATAATTTTGGTCATCTAGCGAATCAATTCAATAGTTTTGAAGAACTTGTATTCTTGAATATCTTTGCAGAAGGAAGCAACATCCTATATGGTTGGGATCTCGTGATATAAACTTCTCTATAATCAAAATATGCCACTTCATGTGTATATTTTTACTTAAACCGTCCCTACGACAGATCCGCGTCCTAAAATATTTTTTGATAGCTGAAACTGAAAGCATATTAAATTTACTTTGCAAAACATTTTAAATTTTAGAAATCCGTTTAAGCTTCACTGAGATATGACAATTTGAATTTGGGGTCAAATTAACTCCATGGTAAACGAACGTAATTTTTTTTTGGCACAGGCGAAGGGTTAAATGCTGCTTCGCATGCTAATAATAATGGTATTCAAATTATTTCAAATTTCACATGTTCAAGATGAATGTACTTTCATGGGCTGTCCTAATATTTTTCAATGTGTTTTTTTTTTATTAAAATAAGTGTTATGTTTGTAGTTCGATACCCACTTTATCACATGCTCTAATGCTTGGGCCGCTATATTCAATATGAAATTGTTATCATTTGGCGTAGCAGTTGATCGTGTCAGTGTTATCTAAAATCAAGATAAGAAAAGCAAAAACAAGCTATCTTTCAAGATCAATATCACCTAAAATCACAGGCGCCAATATCACAAGCCATTATCACCACGAAAATCACCCGTGATTTTCGACTAATATCAGCTGTGATTTTCGTTTCCCAAAATCAACCAGCATCAATATCAACCAAGGTCAAAATCACCGAAAACTGGGATTAGCAAATATGTTGAATTCTAGAGTCTGGGACATTCCGAAATTTAAGTCAGCATATTCCGGATGAAATTAAAATGGTGGATTTCAACCTAAGATGGCTACCAGAAATCCAATATAGTTATGCATATACGCTTCCAAAATGGCGGCGAATGTCCGTTTCTTACTTTGACTGTAATACCAAGGTATTGATTTTCCGTTTTGTGATTTTGTTACCTCAAAATCAGCTAAGGTTAAAATCAGCCTTATATTTTTGGCTTTGTGATTTTGCTACTCTCAAGATCAGTTAAGATAAAATCAGCCGTGATTTTCTGTTTGTGATTTTGCTGATCTCAAGATCAGCAGTGATTTTCGGTCGTTCCTGATTTTGGTTTTTTCCATCACTGCTCATAAGCATGCATGTGCAGTACTCAAGGATAACGCAATAGTTTCCAAGTCAAAATCAGTTATTATTTAAAAAAAAATAAATCAAAAGCCAACATGCGCCTCTTAGCGACGTCTGGGAGGTTCTTCAACA